TGTTGTGTGTTGTGTTCCGGTTGGTAATTTACTATGGTTTGTCTCTGCTACTTTGCCATGTGGCACGCATTTATTCACGACTTTCCCATTAAATCAATAAATGTTAATTTTATACGAAAACTATCTTGACTCTTCATTTGGGGATGAATATGGTTGGGTGGTGAAATGATCAAAATCCTCTCATCAAGCCAAGCGAGTAGCCAAGTTGCGATCCATAGGAGGGCAACATCTGAGTTGCGACATGTGGTGGACACGCCGTTTGCCAAATAATCTACCAAAACCATCTGAGTTGCGACAATATCATCAATTTTATTTCCGTATCTGATATCACAATGACTCCATTGTTTTATTATTTCAAGAAAATGTCATCGCCCATGGATTGGCAAATTTCAAGCAATGACAGCTCTGTCTAATGATGAGCATTACTTGAGAGGAAATCAGATGGCTACAAGACGAAGAAATCGAAAATGTCGCTGTTACCTGTTACAGCCATAGAAAAATCATAGTGTATAACTCGCACTGATGAATGATTGCAGCATTCACTTGGGAAATCACTATCATTCCGTGCTCTTTAAGCAATATACTACACTCCATTTGATATTTTCCTGTGAAACATCTAGTTTGTATCCAAAAATTATTGGAAATAGGATTTTATTTTACTGAATTAAATGAAAACCGTCGATATGCAGATCTACTCTATCCGAATGGAATCCCATTCCCGTATAATATGAACAAAACGGATGCCATAATACGGAAAGCCTATTTGGAATTCAGTTCGATTTGAAATCGAATCCGAAGAGATACACATAAACTGCATCGTTTCGCTTATCAGATTTTGGCTTTTATAATTTATGGAATCTGCATATTCCATAACTCCATTCGGTTTCCGATGGATGGAATTTTGGATATGTGAAGCCATGACAGCAAGAACGTGTTCATGGTTAACTGAAGAAAATTACATCGTGGCTGTAGCCAGGGTATACGCACTTGTACAGGGTTTGAATGAAAAAATGCGAACACATCTAGGAAGTGATTCCTTATATTTTTGGAAAAATATTGTGAATGAATTTTTCTTTATGTTCTGGTTCTCACGAAGAGGGATATCCTGTAATGTACAGAGAACATCGTGAGAACCAAGGGAAATAAGGTAGGAATTGGTGTTCTTCTTAAATTTTCTAGAGGTTATATGCCTCGGGAACACCTTCCTTGGCAATGTGTTCCAGAGCCTCGCTGTTCGTTGGATGAACGAGTATATGGAAAGAGATGTTCTGCAGGTCTCCAAAATGACCACGAAGGGGTGCGAAGCGTCAACTCGACGGGTTAATCTCGCGGGGACTGCCAAGGGAGGAACAATTGTTGATATTTCAGAAGAGCATCGTCCATGAAAATATCTATAAAATAGAGCCAGATCGCCAACTTTCCTACGGTGTTTCAGAGAAGTGAGTACAGGGGAGTGAACGAAAAACGGCCAGAGCTGTAATTTCTGAATCATTCGAGATCGGATCTCGAAAATTGGTGGGTAGCAAGTATTCAAAATGCATTCAACAACATAATAAAACATATTGGAAGATTGTTGAATAGAACATTCTTGTGGGAAACATTCTAGAAGGAATCATCTTTACATCATCAAACCATCTGAAGGAAGAACATGTCTCCCCATCTGACGGCAACAACTAGAACACTTCTGAGCGGTTTGTTTTGAGAGTATGACCAATAAGCACAAACGAAAAACAAATGTGAACCAATAGAAACAAAGTAAACAGGCCGCTATGACAGCTTTCAAGAACTCCGATAGGTGGCGTACGCTTATTTGCTATCGCGAATTGGGAAATGGTTCTCCCAGATGCGCAAGATACAACAGAAACTTCCTCCAATGCTTAATGAACATGACCCAACCTCATACCAACACTAATCGGATGATCAAGAGTCTAGATATCAACTTGCTGATCAAGAAAATCAAGAGCCACCTGCCACCGCAGACTATTCTGAAGATCCACTTATTGATCAAGGGTATCCAGATCTTCCTACCACTGAAGAGAATCTTGTTCTTGATGAGTCGACTACCTCTCGCTATGCTTCTCACTCAATACCTGATTCTTCATCCACTTTTCAAGACAGTTCTCACCCTCATTCATCTAGAGATCGTCGTTTGCCAGAAAGATTGAAGGAGTATGAATGAAATCATCTAATCTGTTATTAGTTTATGTTGTTCTGACATGTTGACGTCTTATTATTCGTAATACTTTCACATGAGTTTTTTGATGAATGAAGCCTTTATTTTCTAGAAAGGTTTATCACAACACCTATATATATTATCCACGGAGCACGAGAGGCAACTGCCCAGGGGCGAATTCAGAATTGGGGGCGAATTTTTTGCCAATAAGTATAATAAGCAGAAGACGAGGCAAAATACAAGATGATTTGTCAGAGATCACGGATTTTATTCCTTTGACGATTCAATCGATAAATATAAAACGAATAAGTATATTTCCATAGTCAAAATGAGTACAATAAATGAAATAGTATATCAATGAAACCACCCCTTTCGGTAAACTAAAACATATGCTCCAGCCAGAGAATGTTCAGCTGGTTTCGCCGATATCAAAGACACACGAGAGTAGTTGAACTCGTATGCCAATTATCAGAAGATAGATATCTACAATAGGCCGTATATAGTGTCCGCTGTTGGTGGTCCGATATGATTGATGTATTTTATGAGTGTCTCATTGGAAAAATTACGGAAACAACTGTGGGGAGAGCTCATCAAGGTACCCTACTACCACCCAGTAGATTTCTTTGTTACTTGGTACACAAGTTTTCCCTTTTTCCACCCAAGGAAAATAATCGCAATCTGCTTCGATATCCTACTAAACAGACATCGTCTGAATACTGAATACTGTCTGTAAGCTGTATGAATACGTCAGTGAATCTTCACATATTTCAATATAACTATTGAGTACTTATGTATTCGTGAAAAGAAATTGTACAAATCAATGATTATAATGACATGTTAAGAAAATTCTATTCCCTCGAATATTGAAACAATCAAAATGATGAAAATATACCTTCCCAACTTGAAACATAAAAATAACAACAATTGATGCTTAAAATACTCTCCATATTGATCCAAACATGTTCTTGCTTTTTTTGTAATATTCCTCACTGAATTTTGGATCACATCCTCATCGTTTTTTATTTCTCTGCATGCTTCTTGAATTATTCGATTCAGCTTCTTCCTGGAAGTGATCTCAGAAATATACTCATCAGATTGAAGATAAACCCACAGGTGCTTTATCCGAGGATTTATCCGCGGGATTCAAATCGGGTGGTCATGGAGACCAGTTATGGCAGCTGCTTCATGCAATCCATATAAATATTATTTTGGATTCCTCAGATTGCATCAATTGCTTGAATTAGAATTTCCCTGACAAGTGAATTGTATATAGCGGTACTGATAACTGGACTATAAGATGATCCTATTTAAACCCCTGTTGTTGTTTTGAAAACTTTTCGAAGAAGAGAAATATAGGTATATCGAAAATATATCAATTTTTTATTTATTTTATATTCAATAACAAAGACATTGAAAAAGTGTGAGAGGGAAAATGGACATCTATTTGAACAATTCAATGAATAAGTTAGTGAATAATTTCGAAATCCAATTGTTTCAGTAAATATTCAATCAGGTGCTGATTTTACATTATGAGCTTCCTATTACTATTCATTTGTTGCTATTTGATACCTAAGTTTCGTGTTTTGTTAGTTGATTACTGTTGGTATTGTGTTTGATCTCTTCATGCAGAAATCTGAAGAAATTTTCCTTCGATTGGAATTTTTTTTATATGAAATATCCATTGCCCACTATTAAAATTCATTGTTTCAGTGATTTCAGAGCATTTTCGAAAATCTAATATCCATACAATATATATCATTCTAGATGGAAAGAATAAGGAATTCAATGAGCTAATAAAATACAATTTAAAAAATCTTAAGTTTGAGTCGTATCTCGAAAACCATACCCTGAAAAAAAATTGTGCGCCACTGGATTCTGCGTGAAAGAAATAGAGGGGGCCCAAAAAGTATGAATTTTCAAAATCGCACTACTTATATTTAGGACCACGACGTTCATTTTGTTGATCAGTTTATTTGTTCAAGTTCACAGGAAACCGGCTCGAATTTAATATCCCCTTCCACATACGCTGATTCTCTTAGACTCCATCCAGAGAAGAGCTATTCGTCTAGTGGGTGATGCCACGCTCATTAGTACTTTGACCACATTAGAACATAGAAAAGTCCGCAACCTTTCAATTCTCTATAGATACTTGCAAGGAAGATCTTCCTCAGAAATCTCTGCCATCATTCCATCACTAGCAATACCTCATTGAAATATTTCGAACAACACTCTACCAAAACTCGTCCATAGAACGGCAAAGATTTGGAATTCTTTGCCAATGGAAGTAAATTCCGAAGAACTTTGAACCACCGAAAGATCAAAAAAATTCCGACACCAACATCCTTTCCCTATCCTCCCTATAGGTACGCACACATATTAAAGGAATTTCTTTTCTTGCGATCCAAGAAATTATATAAATGAGGTTTCACCTTATACAGAAAACGAAAATATTCCATATGATACTAGAAGATTGATCACATTGTCCTTGTCTACCATGATTTTTCCAACATGTTTACACCTCTACTCACAAAGAACTAACATTTTCTAATTAAACATTCAAAAAGCTCTCATAACCAAGGAATATACATATCCGAACTATTTGTCCAAATTCACATGGAATCAGCTCGAAACCACTCTTTCCTCATTACAGATTATTCACATGAGGTCCCATCTTACTCGAGAGCCTCATGGTCTCATGCACTCAGGATAAATATTTCTCACTATGAAACTAGAAGCTTAAAATTTTGCCCTTTTCTATCATATTTAATTCTATATGATTGAATTTCCATATTCACAAATCTACTATCATAACCCACAAAGAACTTACATTTTCGAATTAAGTACACCTCCGAATTCACAGTAAACCGCTTATTTGTTTTCTCGAGAGAGCCTTTCCACATGAGGTCCTAACTGACCCGAGTGCCTCTTGCACTTACATCTTTCGACCCTACTTAGAATGAATATTTCATGGGACACTCGAAGCTCGACGATTGCCTCTCGACTATGTAAACATTAGGAAGGACCTCGGACGACCGGCGGAAGCGTCAGAAGCAAAGTCCATTGTGAGCTTTAGGGATTGATCTCGATGGCGCAATGAGTTCGCGCAGCCACATAGGTAGCTTTTTGGATCGAAGTTTCGACATAGGCGTAGACGCTAGGGATGACTGATACCTGAATTTGGCCTGAATTTTCCTGGAACAGGTCGTTACCACCGATAAAACAAGGCCTGCATGCTCCGTGGGTGACGTCACTTAGTCAGGCCTAACCAGCGGCTCGAAACGACAAGCGCTTATAGCGCTATAAGGCGACCGCGTATCTCGATTTTAGTTTTAGATCATTATTGAGCCGATTTTGCTTTTTTTTGAAGGGCTTCCGGTTGAAAGAGGATGCCAGCCGTCAACTGAGCCCTTCTTCGCATCCCATTCGATTTTATTATGGAAAAACGAAGTTTCAAAGCAAAAACCAGGATAAAACACAAATATCCACCTACAGCAACCCATTCAAATTAAATATATTGGCAAAAATTGTGGTGAAGGTAAACTTCACACCTACTTATACAGGGCCCGCAGAACATAAACTTATCGTGAGATTGATCTATTTATGACTCTCTTTATTAAAGAAAAAATCATGAGGTGATCTATTTTTGATGTTGGGCTTATATGAACAACTTCTTTCACATTTGACATAACGCTTGCTATCATGAAGACAAATGCGGAATTTGCTAAACATGCATTATTAAATGCCGTTTCTACAATATTGCCTGCCTTGTATTCTAAATATGACTTTATATGAACTTCCTTCATCATTGAAATGACATATTTTTCACGCTCACCTAATAACTTAAATACATTTTCTGCATGAGATAATGACATTTGTCTTTCTTCGAATGTAGGATCTGTTAACAACGAACTACATATCGATTTGACTGTACCTGAATGAGGTAATATGAGTACTCCAAAATGTCTTAAAAATTTATAAGCATGTGGACTTATTGTATGAATTATAGAGGCTAAAATTATAGTATTATTCGAATAACGATATCGTTCTTTGCTCAGAGAGGAACAATAAAGCTGAAGTGTTTTCGGAATCTTCATCAAGATCTGAAACCGAGTCAGAAACCAAAGAGTCCAATGCATTCGAAATATGTTTCAAAACCCTCTTTTTCTGATTATCAAGACATTTTCCCGAATTATGTATCTCGTTTTTATCTATTTCAATTAGTAATTCCTTGATTTGATTGATATTATTAGAGATAAAAGGTGTTTTCAGATTGGCTTTTAGAGATGTTTGTATCGCTAGGTCATACAAAAATGATTCCACATTCAAAACAAAATCAATCACAACCAAATATGTAATTACGGGCCCTGGAGAATAAGACAATTTGAATAATGTGACTTTTTGCAAATCGATAATTTTGAACCACTTTTCGGGCAACTGAAAAGACTCTAATACAACTAGAAATTCTTGAAATTCTGTGTAGCAAAATGATTTTTGGTAATTTTCGAATTCAGTTTTACTTTTGGTAAGTGCTTGTGCCAAATTTTTAGTCTCTAGTATCTCAAGTTTCTCATCACGACTTGTGCGTAATTTTACATCTTTCGATAAATAAGATGGACAGTTGGGAAATTGAGTGGAAACAACATCTCGTTTGAGCCTAGGAATTTCCAAATCTATTGTTACAGTTTTGCCAGTTTTTGAATCGGTTGCAATAGATGAAGTAATAATATCATCTTTAGTAAAATGTAATTCACATACTTTACTGTACTTAGATGGAGTCGTAAAATCCTTGCGGTGAATTGCATGTACCCACTTTTTCGATAGTTCCTTGTCCAACGGGAAACTAAAAGCATGAACTTTTGGACCACCCACATAATTCCCCCGACAAAAGGGAACACAACATTTGTAAGGCATTGTTATTTCGCCTATCACAACACGAAATATTTCACAAAACAGTAATTTCCTCGCCAATTATTTTGATGAATAAACAACAAGAGAATTCCAGCACACGCGATTTACCTACGCCACCGTTCTTGAACAAAAACAAACTGACGATCGATCGACGCGAATGCCTTGGAAGATGGCCTGAGTATGCGACGTCACGAGCTGTTTACGTCAGAGTCTGCTGGCCTTGTTTTATCGGTGGTAACGAACAGGTACGTACTGTTACTGTGACAGAGACCCCAGATAGCACTGGACGTCCCCAGGACGTCCATTTTTGGTCTGAACGTCCAGGACCTTGTATGAACATTTTTAGGACGTTCATTATTGAACGTACTCGTGACGTTCAGGAAAAGACACCTTTGAAAGTCCAGATTTTTTAGAAGTAGGGATTTTGTCTTTAGTGTTCTCCAATGAGGTTTTAAGGTTGGAGTTAGTTTTGAATGAAATATTGAAATTGAAACTCGAAAACAGGTTTTTCAATTGTACAGAGGAACTGCCAAAATAATGTGAAGATTCAAACAATGGTAGTTCTTTATCTTGTGCTGTTATAACATTGAATTATGATCCAAATGTTGTGTGAAATTTGAAACGAATTTTCATTATTTGATCTAGAGGAAATTGATCATTGATAGCAGTTTGATTTATTATATTAATTTCACTATTGAAAGCCGAATCAGAAAGTGGCAAAGCGAAAGCTCAATGAAAGACATAGTTGAAAGATGCAAATTTATGAGAATAGGTGTGGTTAGAATAATAGGGAATGACAGTATCTGTGGCAGTAGGTTTTCTGTAAACTTGAAAGTCTGATCTGGAAGTATCAATGTTTTTCGTGATGAGTAGTGCAAGAAAAGGTAGTTTGATAAAACCAATGTTGTGTTTTATTTTTATTTAAAACTCCATCATATTGTGTTTACCCAATGTCAATTTTGATTCCATTCCAATGTATTTTCAAAGAAAATAAAAACTCCAAGTGGGTCGACCACACCATATGTAAAAAGTGAAATTCTATACAGTAACCGGTTTCGGCTCAACGGCCATCATCAGACTGTAGTACTGTAGTAACATTGAATTGAAGGGAAATACATCTAGAACAAATCATTGAGTTGACCATCATGGTACGTCAGATATTAACTCTAGATTTCACCATCCACCCATTATTTAGATGAGGAGTATCAAGATACTCATATCATATCTGTCACTAAAACTCCTTTTTGTAAACAAAAATATTTTGAATTTTTCCCTAAGAAAGAAACTGTGTGAAACTATCGTCTTGCCAATTCTTCAGTATTGTCTTATAATTTTTTATCCTTATCTAGACTCAGTTACTAAGACAAGATTGCAAAAAATACAAAATACCTGTTGTCGTTTCATCTATGGTCTCAGAAAATTTGATCATATCAGTCACTGTTTTCGTGCACTCAGATGGCTAAATATTGAGTTTTTGTGGAAATATCTTGTCTTATTTTTGTTCATCTTTTGCTGATTACGTCAATTCCAATCTATTTAAGAAACAAATTAATATTTCGTAACCAACAACATAATGTGAATGTAAGAGTTAACACCACATTGGATATGCCATTCGACAGCTTTGTACCAGAAATCTTTTTCTTATAATGCTGTGAAATTGTACAATTCACTTGATTCCTCTTTCAAAATTAATGTTATTCATTCCTTCAAGAAACGCCTTAAATTACATTTATTGCTCGAACAAAATGCCATTTGAAATCAAACTATATTTATTTACATTCATTCATCATAGAAAAATTGAATAATTGCAAGTCATCTGCACTTAGTGATTAAAGTATGTTAAGTTTATGTATTATGTATTATAAATGTGCAGGGTTAGGTGTAAGAGTAGTCATGATGGCTAAACTTCGCTCTGCCAAATGTTTGTATAAAAAGACGTTTATTATTATTATTATTATTATTATTATTATTATTATTATTATTAAGTTCATATAATTCCAGTCACGACCCTGCGGCCTCCGACGTCACGCAGAGTCGTGCTGGATAAAATCCAGTGACTACTCCTCACAGCCTGTGAGGTGAGTAATCACTGGGACCAAGTACCGTGTGCCCTAAGTAGACGCAATGATCCCAGTATGACGGCCTTCTGCATTCCACCAGCCAGGATGTGTGCCTTATCACGGCACGCTGGGATTTTCTGGATCTCCGAGAGCAGCGTGTGTCGTGTGCCTCCTAGGGAGCCGATTATCAGGATGACCAATTCCACAGAATGGTCTGGATAGAGCCGGCGGAGTTCGAAGAGAAGATCTCGATATTTAGTCCGTTTTTCCTCCTCCTTCAAAACGATGTTCGGTTCGGCTGGCGCGGAAAACTCGATCACGAACATCGCTTTGGTTTGATGGTCGAGGAGGACTACATCAGGCTTGTTAGCTTGTATCTGCCTGAGGGTGGGGAATGGAAAGTTCCAATAAATTCGGCACCTCTCATTCTCCACAACGGACTCAATATCTCCCGGAGCATAGGGCAGCACTGGGGTCTCGTCTATTCCGTACGAGTGCCTCAAGTGATAATAAAGCACTCGCAATGCCGCATTGTGTCTATGGATATAGGCCGAGACTGCATACACCGTGCAAGAAGACAGCAGGTGCATAATTGTCTCGGGCGCCCTGCGGCAGGCCCTGCAATTTGTGTCAGGGACCTCCATACCCATGACACGGCTACGGTAGACGAGAGTGTTGAAAACCCCATCCTGGCATGCCATGATGAACCCCTCTGTTTCCGATTTAAGCCCGCCTGACTTAAGAAAAGCGAAAGTCAGTTCTTTGGATAAGCCCCGGTCTTCAATGATCTTGAAGTAGACCGAATGCATGGGCTTATCCATGTGAAGCTGCAGAAGCTTTTTCACTTCTGCAGCTTTGATGCGGGCTTTTCTCCGAGCGGGTTCTAGCTCAGTAATTGAGTCCTGAGCCTCGCGCTCGGAGTCGAAAATCAGAGACAATTCATCGGCTGCTCGACGTGCTGCCCTGAAAAGAAAAGCTCCTACTCCTGCCTCTTCATGGGTTTTAACCATTTGCAGAAGGGGATCCGA